GGCCCCTCAGGGGGCTCGGCAGGGGAGCTGCAAGGCCGCCGGCGGCGGCCGGGACCGTTGGGGGCGGGGTGTGTGGCCTTATGACACACTTCCGGTGATGTCAGGGGGTGTGGCATATGCTAATGAGTTACGCTAATGAGCTCCCCTAGCTCTTTTCCTACGAAACGACCCCTGACGATTTCCAAATCCATCCCGGCAACGGCGTCTCTGCCCCTGTGGGACCTACCGTTGTTGTGCCCTTCGCAAAGGAGCTGCAGAAACCGAAAGAGGTCCTGTGTGAACAAATCGTCCGCCATCACCTTCTCTCCTAGAACGGGGAAGGGGGCAAAGGAAGAGACAGAACTGGCCAACGTTAGCAGGAGCCACGTGGGGGAACAGAAGAGAGGAGGGGGCAGGGGGCGGTGCGGAGGATGCGGTTAGTACAAATGGCGGGGGGGGGGATTCTCCAACGCTGGGTACAAGAAGGGGAAAGGGTTTTGGCAAAGGCAACCCACACTCCAAGAAAAGAAAAAAACACCCGCTCCTGGCACACCGATCAGGGTGCAATCCTGCAGACCTTACTCAGGGCTTAGCTCTCATTGACTCTGCTCAATAAAGAACGATCGAATCCCAAGATAAGGACAGCGGGAACTTGGCCGCTTGGCCTCAATGGAAGAAGAAGGAGAAGAGAGGAAGAGATTGGATTTATACCCCGCCCTTCACTCGGAGTCTCAGAGCGGCTGACAATCTCCTTTCCCTCCCCCTCCCCACAACAGACACCCTGTGAGGTAGGTGGGGCTGAGGGAGCTCTTCTGAGAACTGCCCTCGAGAGAACAGCTCTGAGAGAACTTGTGACTGACCCAAGGTCACACTGGCAGCTGCATGTGGAGGAGTGGAAAATCAACCCGGTTCTCCCAGATTAGTGTCCGGAGTAAAAAAATAAGCAAGAGCCAAGCTGAACATTAAAGCAGAATGAGGTGTGAAAATAAAGGAGTTAGGATTTAGGGCTATCTCATTTCAGGTTAGAAAGGTGACACTTAGAATCATAGAATCATAGCGTTCGAAGGGACCTCCAGGGTCATCTAGTCCAACCCCCTGCACAATGCAGGAAATTCACAGATACCTCCCCCCATGCCCCTTTAAACGAGCCCTCCCCCAAAACACCTCCCTGTAAGTGGAAAACTGGCACAGCAGGGGGGGAACCCTCTTCCTAGTAAGCTAATTCGCAACATTACTAGCAAGTTTTTATTTAAGTGTGAGAAAGAAGTATAGTACGTGTGCAACTGAAGTGGTACAGCCCAGACAGAGTCTAAGCACCTCTGTCTACCATCTCCTTCTGCGTAAATGTGCAGATTGGCTCTAAAGCTTGTGTAAGGTGGTCGAGGTTCACACCTCTGCCGGTTTCCAAACTGGACCGATAGGGAGTCAACGAAAGGAGGCCTGGAAAATAGGGTATGGCGGTCCTAAAGTTATCACCCGAGGAATGCGAGCGACTCTCACTGCGCTTTGGTGATGAAAGCACCAGAGGGAAATGTTGAGAGATCAAAGTGTGTCTTTGAAGCTCCCGCTGTAGCTGAAGGGGCAGTCCGCTTTCTGTGCTACATGTTAAACTGAAAAGTAGCCGTCGTCTTTTGCAGGACAAACGGCTGTGGTTGTGTGTGTTAAAGTGCCGTCAGGTCGCTTTTGACTTATGGTGGCCCTATGAATTAATGACCTCCGAGACATCCTATCAACAATTGCCTTGCTCAGGTCTTATTTATTTATTTATTAGATTTATACCCCGCCCTCCCCAGCGGGCTCAGGGCAGCTACAACAGAGGGCCTTGTAAACGGAGGGCCTTGGCTTCGTTTACTGAGTCCATCCATCTCATGTTGGGTCTTCCTCTGTTCCTGCTGCCTCCCACTTTCCCTAGCATTATTATCTTTTCCAGTGATTCTTGTCTTCTCATCATGTGAGCACAATAGACTCGGTTGTATCAGTTTAGCTTCTAGGGAGAGTCATGGCCAGCAAACAACAAGTGTACCTGACCATGGTCCCCAGTCCAACAAGGGTTAAGACACTTGAATAAGAAGTTCAAGAACCTAGGGCAGTGACGGCGAACCTTTTAGAGACCGAGTGCCCAAACTGCGACCCCAAACCCACTTATTTATCGCAAAGTGCCAACACGGCAATTTAACCTGAATACTTAGGTTTTACTTTTGAAAAAACAACTCATACATTAACTTAAGATGATCCAAACAAAGTAAGGAAAGCAATCCCAAATGCTTTCATTTACTTAAAATTATTTGGCCGAGAATTCGACACTTTAATGATGGTCTGGGCCTGGCTGGGGCGATGGCACGCGTGCCCACAGAGAGGGCTCTGAGTGCCACCTCTGGCACCCGTGCCATAGGTTCGCCACCACTGGCCTAGGGTGACTGGGTTTGTTGACCTCAAGCATTATTCTACCCATTTGAAATATCTCCCAAAGTTTGACATACCAGTCCTCTATAGTTGGTAGAGTTGGATTCTTCCATTTGAGTGCAATGAGCTATTTAGCTGCCAATAACAGCCGACTCAATATCCCAATATACTCCTCGTTCTGATCTTTCTCATGCAACGGGAAAAATGGCTACCTTATTTAGAATTCAGAATAGGAGATGAACTCTAAAAGTTACGTTATCAGTCAAAAATATTTTGGTGCTATGGTACTTCCATGAATTCCTAACAAGTTGATGAATTTGAAATTGAGAATATGATATTTACTACCTAAAATGTATTATCTCTAATAGCTAGATCATTAAATACGTTGTTGTTAAACATAATCCTTTACGACCTTTGGAGCTCATTGTTATTCGCCCTTTTCTCATTCTACTAATGCATTTGACATTGTTCTAACTATCCATTATTATGACGTTTGCCGGTTTATATTCCAAGCTAAAAGTTTAGCTCATTGAACCGTCTTTGTTAACAGAAGATGCACTTTGTTTGTTAATGTGAAAAATGTTTTCATTTGTCATTCGAAATTACTCAAGCGATATAACTCTATGAAATTTGAATTTCCAATGAGAAGTTTATTTTTAAAAAAGGATTATTTCCAGGGCAAAAGATGAAAGCATTCAGGTATTTATGGACCACTGGGATGTATGGGAGCTGATCCAAAATAAGGATTGCAGAATTGGCCCCAGCATTAGTAGGATCACGGACGACATGCATTTTGTTAGGGGATCCTGTGGCTCCTTGGTGCAAGGGGGCGGGGCTGTGTGCAAACTACTATAACTATGTGACAGGTTTCCAGCAAAGGTGCAGTGCTGACAGATACAGTCCCATGGAGGATCCCTGCATATCTAATGCTGGAACTGCAATATTTAGTGAAGGGATGACAGCGGAGGAGGATACACATTGGAGTTGGTGCATGGGAGGCTAGGTTTGATCAAACACCATTCATTTTAACGACTGACTTTTCCCTTCTTTTTTATATTGTGTATTGAGGCCAAATTAGAAAATGTTAATTCTGGACAAGACCTCTCCTGAAGTCCGTGGAGAGCTGGTCTCAGTAAAAGGCTAGTAAAGGGGGAGCAAAGGCTTGGCACGGTACAAAGATCATGTAAGGCTGGAATACACTCCAAGCAACGTGATCGGAGCGATGCAAAAACCAGCGACAGGGCCAGGAAATAAAAAGTTAAAAAAGAGTAAGAGTAAAGTTGGAGTAAGGTGAGAGTAAGATATTCAGGATTCCACCCTGTCTCGAAGAGTTAATAGAATTAGTTTGCAGAAAGCCATTGACCGGGTCACACCATTCGTTTCGTGGCATCGGTCATTAATGAAGATATGAATCCAGCAGAAAGGGGCCAAGAATGATGGGTTTGCAAGGACCCTTCCGTTCCTCCCGGTGGATTCATACTGGTCCTCCTGGCATTAATGACCAGCCCCTTTTCCGTGTTTCATGAAGCTGCCTCCTCTGCTTCGTGGATGAAACCAAATGATCACCGGCTATCTTCCCCCTCTTGATTGTCTTCCCTATATGTTGGGAGCATTGTAGCACTTGGAGGGTGGGGTTTATGGTGCAGGTGGGATGGGGGGAAGATGCTGCCCAAAGTCATCTGGGTCTGATTTGAATTAAGAAAGGCCCTAGAGCATTAAAAAAAGCAGTGACCTGGGGAGGAGGGCAACTAAACAGGAACAGCACAATGACTGCAAGGATATTAGGTACACAGCACTTTGTCCAAGAATTACTGTAGCAAAAGACTCCAGATTACTGAATGAGAGTGCTGCAATGTTATTACAAGGACAACATAGTTACTACAGGGATACTACAAGGACAACACCTTACATGTATTGGACTATTATTTATTTATTTATAATTTCAATTTATAGCCCTCCCTCCCCGCAATGCGGGCTCAGGGCGGCTCACAAATAGGCATACGCCAACACATAAAAACAGCTAAAACCAGAGGTCATTTCGGGGGGAACGCGGGGGAACGCAGTTCCCCTGGGTGAGGTGCAGGGGGCGGGACACACGATGAAGCCCCGCCCCCTGCTTCTGGCTGCCCCGCTTCCAGCCCTCATTCACCCAGGAGGAGGCAGGAGAAGAGGGAGGGTAAGTTGCTTCCTCCCCGCCTCTCCCCACCACTGCCTGCCTGGCGCCAGGGAGGGCCTTGGCGGGGCTTCCTCGCACTCCCGCAGGCCTTACAGGTCCACCGCCGGGCCCCTGATGTCAGGGGGTGTGGCATATGCTAATGAGTTATGCTAATGAGTTCCCCTAGCTCTTTTTCTACGAAATGACCCCTGGTTAAAACCATAAAAACCATTATTACAGAATTACAACATATTAAGTGCTCTAGAGGAGCTGTGGTGGCTCAAGTGGTTAAGACGCTGAACGGCAGGCTGTGGAAGGTCAGTCGTTCAGCCGTTCGAGACCCGAGTGTGCCGCATGACGGAGTGAGCTCCCATCTCAAGTTCCAGCTCCTGCCAACCTAGCAGTTCGAAAGCAAGAAACTGCAAGTAGATAAATAGGTACCACTTCGGTGGGAAGGGAACAGCGTTCCGTGCGCCTTGGTGTTTAGTCACGCTGGCCACATGACCACGGAAACGTCTTCGGACAGCGCTGGCTCTTCGGCTTTGAAACGGAGATGAGCACCGCAACCCTAGAGTCGGACTCGGCTGGCTTTCGAGCAAGGGAACCTTTACCTTTAAGTGCTCTAGAAGTTCCAAACGAAATCTATCACCAAGATGGCGTGTCTAAGATGGTACATCCAATCAGTGCTGTCAGTTCCACGTGGCACTGTCGTTCTCTCTTCCCAGGGCCAGTTAATAATGATGGTACGATAGTGGCGGCTCCTGCCCGAA